AGCAGGGTCAGTGTTTCTTGCGTACTCACTTACTCGCAATGTTATTAAATTTCAAGTCTATCTCGCAATAACTTTGGCACTTCCGGGCACTACAAAAAAAATTAATGTGAATTGCTGAACCTGCTTATTGTAAGCTTGTCGCCTCGTATAGCATTATAAATGTGGTGCTGTTAGACTCGCACATAAAGCAGTTTAGACATCCACATTGTAAATTACCATTGCTAGTAGCTCATTACTCATGAGCAGCATCAACTTGTACGTGGCCTGTGAGACAAGATGGTGCCCTACTGAGACAAACAACATTTATTGCGTGGTTGAGTGCGCCATTGAAACTGTTGAGAATGATTGATATGTGGGGTTTAACGTCCCAAAACCACTGCATGATTATGAGAGACGCCGTAGTGGAGGGCTCCGGAAATTTAGACCACCTGGGGTTCTTTAACGTGCACCCAAATCTGAGCACACGGGCCTACAACATTTCCGCCTCCATCGGAAATGCAGCCGCCGCAGCCGGGATAACTGTTGAGAATGCTCGTTTCAAATTTCTGCCATTTGTTTTGCAGCCGAGTGCTATCAATAGTAGCACTCCCCGTGAAGTGAACATTACAGCAGTTGATTTGACCAATGGCTTAAAAAAAAGCAGGGGACAACTCTAATCACTGAAGACTTATATTACAAAGAAATCTGTACGTGCTCCAAGTGCCATTACCTCAAGATTTCCGAAAGCCCCATGTGACGACTTGCATTATTACTTTGTTGAATATTTTTCAATTGTGCAAAGCGATTTTTTTTTTTTGTAACGAGCAGATTGGTCTGAGGTCTCCTCTAGCAGGAAACAATTCTCTGAAATTACACAGATTATTTGCAAGAGTAGACAAAACTTTCACATTAACAGTAAAAATGTTGGTCAATAAAAACGTCATAATTACAAATGCAATACTTTCAGACCCATGTTTTCAACTGTGAAGCTTAACCTTTTGATTGAATTGTTTTGCCAAACGCAAACCCCAAAAGTCGATTTTTTTTTACTGACGATTGAAATTCCGCAGAGAAATCTATTTTAGAAAAATATTATAATTTTTTTAATGTGACCATAAAGTGACAAAAAATTGTGTAATTACATAGATGTGGGTTACTGATTAGTAACAGGGAGATAAATTTTTAGAAATTTCTTTGACTTAAAAATTAAGCACCGCAAAAATATAGTACAGAGATGTAAAAAAATTAGTGCACCTAGAGGCAACAAATGGAAACACAGAGGAAAAAAAGTCACCTTTGATCCAGTCAGCATCATCTCACCACGCATGCTTTTTTTTTTTTTTTTCGACGTTACTCATTGATCAACATCTGAGCCTTAAATCGTAACTCCTGGTAAAAAAGCCTAAAACTTGTTGAGGTTTTGATTTGGCACACAGCGCAAGCAAACTGCGTGGGTGAGCACACTAAAGAAAACTACTCTTTTGCACACGCCCAGAAAGGGAGTACCAGCGAGGAGCCTGTAAGAATCCTTCATATCATCGTCGATGAGAAGGAATCGGTTAACGTGAGTACCCAAAACAATAAGTGCAACCATGGACGCATCGTTTGTGTCAGTAAGTGCATGTACGGCAACGGCTGTAATTACTCCCAGCGGTGGGGGGGGAGCGACCTATTGAGAGATTCTAAACCAGAGACAGCCATCAATTTTTCTGGCACCAGAAAAAAAGAACCACCTAAAGGACGAAATCAAAACTCACCACAACACGCCTGTGTGCAACCAGTAACACATGAAAAAAGAAAACTGAGGAACATCGGCGAAAAAAGAAAATTACATGTATTCTGGCAATGTGGAAGCACATGGCAAGGAAGAAAAATGATAGGAAAAGGCACACTTCTTTAAACATACAAACAATGATGTACACGCATGTCACTGACCCCCTTGAAGGCGTTGTTCAAGGAGAATGTACACATACGTCGCAAACACCGAAAGGGTTAAAGCTGAGGTGTATCAGAACCGTCTAGCAGGAATATTTTTTCGTTTACACCTATTGCTGTGGTGAAGGCAGTCAATGTTATCCTCTTCTAATTAGGCATGATTATTTCACAGTGAAGCTTCTGTTTACAAAACAGTCTGCCCATTCTATGCTTATTACAACTTTCTGCAGGCTACCTAACAGTGGGTGATAGTGAAAGTTTACACCACTCACTTTGCATTGCTGGGCTGATATGTAATCACCGTTGTATCGTGTAAGAGTAGTAACATGGCAGGTGCAACAAAAAAGGCGATCGATGGCAGCAGAAAAGACGAGTCTTTGAGACGACGTCACATTCTGGTGATCGGAATGTCGCAAGCGATAGTTCTCGAAGCTAATACATTGGAAATCGGGCACAAATGATTTGGCTTACAATGAAGCTTGGCCTAAAACATGGCAGTGGTTGCACAGTGCTTCCTTGATACTAAACTTTGAAAAAAGAAAAAAGCACCTTGTGTCTCACCAAAAATCTAAAATGCGGGGTTGCATACAGCAACAAATGGCACGCACTAAGCAGTTAAATTTTTTCTCCAAATTTAGAAACCTATTAGCAGTATTACAGCCAAACCTTGTAGTAAACACGTAGCCATAACTATGTCCTATCTGAATACTGCATATTATTTTAACTGAAGCTTACTTGTAGAATGCTTACATGCTCAAATGCTTGTATTAAAAAAAAGAAAAGAAAAACAGAGGTAAGCTCTCATAATAGTGCAAATATTGCGACTGCCCAACACGGTTGAAGGAAGATCAACAAGAATTGGCAGGTGAGCTTACCACAGTCTACTGGGACGACCGATAGCTTCCAAATAGTATAGGCCTGCAAAAATACACCGGGCTGAGCAAGGCGGCCCACAAGTGGGGGCACTCCTCACCGGTCTTCAGGTCCCACTGGAGACGCGCGGTGACTGTATAGAAGAAGTTGGTCCTCCCGCCAGGGTGATCAGGAATCGCTGGGGAACTACAGCAGCAGAACGCTACACTGTACAAGCTTTCCTCCATGAAATGCAAGGTATTGCTGCTGGGTTCGTCAATGCAGAAACTGGCTAAGTGAGTGGCTGCCTAGTCTTCAAATAAAAATGTAAGGCAGAAGTTTAATACTCTCCAGCCAGCAGGAACAAAGGTTTCAAAGGGGGTACCTATCCAATACGGTAGGTACACGATAAAAACCAGTGACAATTAATCTTTTCTTCTTGTAGCTATCACCACAAAATTATTACTGTCAGACAGGGCTTGCTCATGGCAACCATGATTCGACTGAACACTTTATGCGGTTTCTACTCTTCAAGGCAAATATGCCACCACCATCCAACGGTTGATGCTTTTCACTGATGGTTTTCACTCATTCTTTTTGAATCACCATATTTAACACCTTGGCCCCTCCTTTCTTTGCCACCCCTATGGCAGTTGCCTTTTCCTCCTGCTTCATTTCTATTGGAGAAGCGAGTATGAAGCATATAGTACACACATGTGCTAAGCAGTTGAGCCTCAAATAAAAGAAATGCCCTTGTCGAAACGTCGGCTCCAGCGACATCCTGTGTTCGCAAGTTTTTCATCTGTATCAAATCTTCTGCTATACAGTGAAGATAATTTTTTTTAAATTAGAGGACATAACTACTAAATAGACATGAATTTCAATAAATCTCGAAAATGTTTTGCCAAGCAAGACAACTGCTCTGTTGCCACGTATTTGGATAACAGCTCCAAAGGTAAGTATACTGAACTTGAAATGATGGCTCAAATGTTTAGACAGGAGCGAAGAAGACACGTAAGACACGAAAAAGTCCACTAAAAAAACCCTGTGGAGTGGTTATCTTCAAAAAACTTGACAACTTCATCGAAATTTTTAACCATGAAGCGATCGTCAAAAAGCAAGACTGTTCAATTGATTTAACAAATATCGACTGACCAACACCTGCCATGAGTTGTTTTCGCTGAAGATAGCCCTAAACAGCATGCCAAGTTTATAAGTTTTCACGTTGAAAAACAAAAACAGAAAGCTTGTCTTCTTTGCACTCACTACTGTTCTTTGCCAACTTGGGGAGGCCATAGTCGATGCAAACAGTCCGAGCCTTCACCTTGAACGCACATACCTGCACACGTCTGAACTTCTTTTCCACAGCATCCGCTGCTTTGAGGTAGAGTGTCCCTTTGTCATGAGTACAAAGCTCCCCTCCTAGCCTGCCACGACTAGTCATAAGTCATTTTACCTCAAATAAGACAACAGTGTTTATAAAGTCACGTATTTGTCGGCGTTCCTTCGAAACTGCTTTTTTGTATCTGCGCGTTCCCGTGTCTTACGTTTCTTCTTCACTCCAGTCTAAACATTTGCACCATCACTTTAAGTGCAGCTATGCACCAATTAGCCTGACTGCAAATGTTATCAAGTAAGCATACTGCCAGGTGGCCTATATGCAATAAACTTTCACAAAAATAGACTCATGCACACTGGACTGAAAAATTGTCATACACCTACCTTTATCACCATGCTACAAAGGAAATCTGTGTAGGTTTCTCAACAAAATAAATTCACAGTTGAAGAAAAATTTTCTTCAGCCCCAGACTCTCCAAACAAAACCTACTCGAGCCCTGCGGCACTGCCCACAAAATACTCTAACTGTTCTCAAGGCTCGATTGCCCCTTGAGTGGCAGTTATGCGGACTTCGAGCATGTCCTGTGGGGCTGTGTCCTTGCTGGTCCCCCTTTCAAACAAGAGGAAATGAACAAGCTGAAGGATCCTGACCTCTCAAATCTTGGCCGTCCAGAGGGCCCTCGCGACCGTTGCTGGGTGCACCTAGCCAGGTGACGCCGAGTTACTCGTGTCTATTGTAGACCTAATAAAGTCATTTCACTCACTCCAGCCCCAGATGTCTTAAGCCAAGACCAAAAGAACAGAGGTGATTTTCTTTTTGAGAAACCTTCGTTGCCATTTGTGAATTTTCCTCCATCTTGTGGGTTTCCACAAAAGTGACCTGATTACACGAGCCCTGCAACACTTTTCTGAGTATTACGGAATAGCTTCATTATCAGTTGATGACACACCAAGATTCCCAAGCCACGAAAGCGTTTAGAATCTCTCAAGTACGAGCAGTCTCGGGGATCTGTCGCAGGCCTCAGTTGCTTCCCCATCTTGTACCAGCGAGAGAGCTGAAATCTATGCCGAGAGGGGGATAACAATATTATAATATTATCTGGGGTTTTACGTCCAAAACCACGATAGAATCACGAGAGATGCCGTAGGAAAGCACTCCAGGATTATCGACCACCTGGTGTTCTTTAACGTTCACAGACATCACATGGTACACGGATCTCTACCTTCGACTGCCACGGCCAGGATTGAACCTGAGACTTTGTGTCAGCAGCCGAGCAACCCAGCCACTGATCCACTGTGGCGGACAAGGGGGATGACAAAGGGGCAACAAAATGCGTCCATTCCTCAGCGAGCATCATAACCTTGAGCACTTTTTCTCCACCCCCCCCCCCCCCCCCCCCCGTTTCTATCGGTGTGATCGCAAGCGCACGCATGGACACATGACAGCATCTCACAATGGCCACGGTAACTATGTCGCTCACAATGCTCCAATCAGCCAACAGCTGTGAACTTTGGTGCAGTGATTGGGTATATGACATCGTTTCTAGAGACACGGCCGCTGGATGAAAAAGCGCACGGTACGGCCTGCCGCGTGGAGCGGCTTTCTATTGGAGAGCGCGTGTCAGCCGTAGGGTCAGTTGCGGCAGCTGCAGCGCGACAGGGTGGAGACAGGAAGGATGGGAAAACGAGTGACGGTGGCTACCTCGGGGCCGCAGCTGCAGCAAATTAGCTGGTGTTTGTCACAACAGTAACCCACTCAGTTGTTCTAATCAGTGTTTTTTTTTTCAAATCTTATCACAGCGATGACATATCGCATATTTATTAGACTACGAGGCACTATTTAGTTATAAGCCAATTGATTTTTCGTGTGCGTGCCGAACACGTGACATTTTTTTCTTTTTTCAGAACCAGCTTCTTGCTCTGAGGCTGACAGAAGAATCCACAATTCATGTAGCTGAATGATATGGCACTGAATGCGTGACAAAGTCATTGTTCTATTTCTGAAGATGTCTTATACAAAGATTATTTGATTATTGTGACATTTATTCAACACTTTCGCGTTTCCTCAGCCGGAATGCTTGACAATTATTTTTGGACACCTTACAATTCTTATATTCTTACAGTTCTTATATTTTGAAAGCGTATCAAAGAAACAAAATTTTAATTTGAATATTTTTCATGTTATCCGGTACACAATAGTGAGTGTGTGTGTGTATATATATATATATATATATACACCCCCCCCCCCCCCACACACACACATCGAGGTCAAGTGACAATCACGTTTTTATTATGTTTACACATCACAAAACCACTGCCAATGTAGGGCAGTCGAGTGCACGTGACATGCCTTCGTTTGAGCGACCACAGGTGCCTATTTGTCGACAATACATAATAGAACAAATAAACAGTAATGGATGCAAAACCGCATGACGGAGACTGCCAGAAGACAAGCGCGTTGGAGTGCTATCGAGATTTGCCAGAGCCCGTGGACAGGCTAACATGAAAGGACAAAACGGATGGTTTTATTGTCGATAAACACAGAAACCAAAAGTTGGGCGCACAAGCAGGAGCAATGTCCAGTCGTTTTATTATGCAAAAGTGTAAAGAAGTAAAGAAAAATAAGAATGCCAGGATCAGCCCTAAATTGAGAATAAATAAAATGTTTTCACACATCTTGTTCTGATTATGTCTTCACTGTTGAATTAGTTGCATTATCATAACAACGCCGGGACGGATAGAGACGAAAACACTCAAAAACGCAGGAACGCAAGCAGTTGTGTTCACATTTTGCAGTATTTCATCGCTCTTTTCGTCTCAGAGTTCTCATATTATTTGCTTCATAACTGCTCGCTCAATTTCCAGCATTTAAATTACAGTCACTGAAATTTAAAAGAGGCTCGGGTCCAATGTTATGAGATCGCACACATGCTAAGTATACAGTGAAAGCTCGTAAATTCGACACCCGTTAATTCGGAAATTCGGATAATTCGGACGGCTCTATTGGTCTCGGCCAAAGTGCATGTTAATCTATGGGACCAAACCTTCGTTATTTCGTCGGAATTCGGCTCCGCACCACTTAATTCGGACAAATGCTGACGGCTGCTGCTATACAAAAGTGTGATAAAGCAGCGCTGGCACCACTGGAGTGAAACCAAAGCCTGAGTGGCATCGCCATCATCATCAACTAGTGGGGGCGATCGCAGCGTCACCGAACGTCGGCGTCTTCTTTCTTCTCCACTCAGCGCCTCAGACGCCATTTTCCCTTGTGTTGTCGTGTCGGAACCATCTCTTCTTGCGGAGTTCTCTTTTTCTTCCATTGTGACCGTATTTGCATGCCACCACCATCTGGCGCTACAGTGATGGCAATGCCGAAAAAGCGGCAGAACTACGACGCGAAGAACTTGGCGACTAAAGTGGAAATTTTGGAAGCAATGAAGAACGGCGAATCGCGACAGCAGGTTATGACCAAGTACAACGTGAAGCGGAGCATGTTGGGAACGTACATGAAAAATGAACAACAGATTCGACAAGCCTTCGAAAGCGAGAAGTTTCATGCCTCTAGAAAGCGGTTGCGAACCGCAGCTCATCTCCAGCTCGAAGAAGCTTTACTCTAGTGGATTACTGACTGTCGCAACGCGCATCTGCCTTTTAGCGGACCTCTCATCATGGCGCAAGGTGAGAAGTATGCTGCAATGTTGAACATTGAATCGTTCAAAGCGTCAGAAGGGTGGTTTGCGAGGTTTCGAGAGAGACACGAACTTGTCTTCAGGAGTGTGTGCGGCGAAAAGGCCAGTGTTGATGAAAGCGTGACCACTGAGTGGAGAAATATGAAGCTGCTGGGGCACATCGCCGCATATGAACCACGTGACGTGTTCAACGCAGATAAAACTGCTCTATTTTTGAGAGCTCTGCCCGACAAGACGGTGACTTTCAAAGGGGACGCGTGCATTGGTGGCAAGAAGTGCCAGCAAAGGATAACTGTGCTTCTTGCCGCCAATATGACTGGCACGGAGCGCTTGCCACTACTTGTCGTCGGGAAAGCGCTTAAGCAACATTGTTTTAAGAACGTCAAAAGCCTTCCTGTCGAGTACACAGCGAACAGGAAGGCATGGATGACATCGGACATTTTTCGCGGCTGCCTGCAGCAGTTGGACCGGCACTTCACGTCGAAGGACCGCAAAATAATTATGGTTGTTGACAACTGCAGTGCCCATAACTGTACAGTCGAACTGAAGAGCATCAAAGTAGTTTTTTTTTGCCGCCCAACACTACGTCTGCTCTTCAGCCGATGGACCAGGGCATCATTCACTACGTAAAGTTGAAGTACCGCAAGCACCTGCTAGAGCGAATGATCCTATGCTCAGAAGCTGGAAAGTTGTATCAAGTGGACTTACTCGGCGCAGTGCACATCATCGCTCATGTGTGCAAAAACACTCCGCCGCAAGTCATCGCCAACTGTTTTCAGCACAGCTGTTTTGCGAGGCCCGAGCATGCAGCAGTAGCTGGCGATGGCATCGAGGAGGTGTCAGCCGAGTCCACCGACGATGACTGCCCGACTTTCGATGCTGTCCTTCCCACTGATGTGACCTTTCAGGACTACATCGCAATTGATCATGGTGTCGCCACGAGTGGTCTCCTGACCGATCAAGAGATTATTAATGATGTCACGGGCACCCATGAAGACCACGATTCCGACGAAGAATCATGCGAGGAGATACAGCCGCGACCTCATCGCACCTCACGGGAAGTCTCGGAGGCGCTGTTAATATTAGAGGACGCTTGCCTGAACACTCCCGACAGCTTGTGTGCTGTTGGCCATTTGGAACAGTTAAAAAAAATTGTGATGTCAGCCGGAATCTGACGCAGACGACAATTGCAAAATACTTCAACAAATAAATGTATGCTTCTGCAGCTTGATTTTAAATGTTGTTTTCCCTGTTCATTCGTTAATTCGACATTCGGTTAATTTGGACAGTTTTTCCGATCCCGTGAAATCCGAATTAACGAGCTTTTACTGAATTTTGTGGCTGTTGTATCTGATACTGCACTGTATGAATACTATAGATGCGTTTGGAGGAAGTGAGAAGTCTATCGTACTTTGTGTTAAAAGAATAGTGGCAACTGCAGTTGCTGAGGTGAAATATTCTAAATGAAGTTATTAAATTTGAAGCAACCCTTTCTGAAGTGACATACTCACAGTTAGTACAATTAATTTAGATGCATTAGAAAAGTGTAGCTCTTCCAGGTCTATTAGTTGTGATCTTGTAGGATCCGATTAAAATGTGCTCACAATTCTCACTTTCGCGAAAACTGATCGGCGTGCAAGGTTCCATCTCGGGTAAGACAATACCAAAAATTTGCAAGGGCTGCAGGTATCTAAAAGCAAGGATGGTAAGTACCTGATGCGCACACACCAAATGGATTATAAAGAAGATTTCGCGAGTCATACAAAGATACACGTGCTCAATCGTAACTACCGCAAGCGTGCCGTGCATGCGATTCTGTGGGCGCTCGCGAAAACTGTCCCCCCCCTGGTGGCGCCGCAGCGTCGGTTCGAGATCTAGACCAGTCACGCTGGTTTTAGAGGATGCGGCGGGTCGTAACTGTGCGCTCTTTCATCCAGCGGTCGTGGTAGAGAAAAGAAGATAGCGATTTCTGGCTCACTTTGAGAATCAACTAAGTTCAGGCCACGTGCTAAACCAAATCGTTTGGCTCACACGTTCTCTGGGAGCCTTCACTGCCCACTGGCAGCATTTTCTGACCATGCTTAAGGCCACAGGGTAAAAATCTTATACACACCATGCATTTTAGGCAAAGTTTGTGTACCTTCTTCTCCATAACCATAAGAGTTACAGTAATTATGTTCCTATCATTGTGATCATAAGCCATTCTTCTTTTTGCTGAAGCAGATCTAGCACTAAAAATTGTAACGCAAATTTTTTGGAATTTTTTGACTTCAGGTATGTAATTATCTCTCGGTAATAGCTATTATATGTAGTGTTGAAGAAGGGCACTTCATCTGCTTCATCATATTTCTTATTACGTTATCCGAATTCTGGCCAGAATGTACGGTTCTAGATACTGTAGTTGCTGAGATAAAGGAACATAAGTACAAAAAAAAACATGTTTTGAGATAATCACGTTTAAACATAAAATTGTGCATTATTTCTAAAGCACAATAAGATGACAGCAAAAAAAATGATGGGCTCGTTCAATAAGCACCAGTCAGATACTCATTCTAAATATATTTTTTTCTGTATCTGTTGAAAGGTCTTGCCTGGTGAACCTTTGCCGCGGGCTGTGCAGCCCTGTCATCAAAGTATTGCCGACGCAGGTCAAGGGTGTGTCAAGGCTGCGCTGTGAAGTCCCGTGGCAAAATTCCAAAGGAGTTCAGCACATTCACGTGGGTTATATTGCCATCGTTAATAATGAGCACAGCATCAAGAGTGCACATTTTTACTGTTTGGTATGAAAAATACCTTTTTTTGGAGAGCACTCCTACACGACAATTCAACGACTCGTTAGAGTTTTCCCATAGAGACATTTAGCAAGCAGTTTTGAATGAGCTAGTCCCGAATAATTCGGTCAAACAGCCTCAGTAACAGATGCTGGAAAGTGTTCTCTATGAAATAGTAATTCACCACTCAACTGGGCTTTGTTAAATTTACACTAAGTTTCGGTGTCCATCGGGCAAAGACTGTGGGATGGACTGGTATACTTTGATGCCATGTGAAAATATGTGGCCCGGACAGCTTTTCGCATGTCTTTCAAGCTGGCTCTATTTATTTTATTGGCCAATATAATAGTTTAAGTGCTTACGAATGATGGCACTACTATGTTGTCCCTGACCAGATATAGATTTCCCGACAGAAACTGCTTTCTTTCATTTCTGCAGTTCTCGGCGCATTGTTTTCTGAATGTGCCAAATGCACTCCAGCTGTCGGGACTGTAACCTCTCCATATGGCTACGATGCTTGGGCTGCAAGGAATCCTTTGCTACGTAAGAATGGGGGAAGGCAGGCCAGCACACATTTTAAAATGTCATTTTTAGAGTAAAAAATAAAACGACGAATAAACAAATGACTGATTATGGTTCAGAAAAAAACGCAGAATTCAAATAATGCAAAAAGAAAAAAATTTTTATCAATATTTTTGCTGACCCTGTCACCTCAAAAAGTGTTGCAGGGCCCATTTGAACAAGTAGAGGTAACAGGTATCTGCAAGATCAAATGCACCTTTTTCTATTTTGAGAGCATGAAAATTATGATCGCGAGCTTTTGTACAAGGCCGGCGTTCTGGGGAACATGCACTAAAATGATAAGAATCATAAAAACAGTGACTGTCACCAAGGCTTCAACAGGGCAGCAACTCCTTTCCTTGTGTTAGAATTAAGCAAAAGCGCTAGTCACATGAAAGCACATTAAACTGCGTTGATTGAACAAATGAATCAAAAACCCTATACATGTGTCATGTGGTGTAAGGCAGCAAAGAGAAGTGAGGATGAGAAGAAAGACATGGACGAATTGAGAGGTAGAGGATGTGCCACAGAAAGCTGCTGTCATCGATGCATAGTGATAGTATAGTAAGTGGGGGGGGGGGGGAAGGAAAGGTGAGCAATGTGAAGGTGGTGAGAAATAAAGGGGCCACATAAAGCGGGTACGCACCACAGAGAGAAAAACATACAGATAGAAGAGAAAGCAGAAACAAGGCTGCGTGTGCCAGGTGGTGGCACTCGCACGACAATTTAATTTAGGCCTAATTTTTCTAAGGAAGGCCGCCCAGATCTGCTGATCGTTCAGACTCGATACCACAAGCGCAAAGCTGCCCGAATTTTTCTACACCTTACGGTGCTTGTGTCACAAGTTCTTATGCAATTGCAGCCACTGACCAGAAGGCTCTCATCAGGAACATTAGCATAAGGCTGGCCTGCGTCCCCTGTGACGCTCCTGGCACTGCGTACGCCTGGTAGTCCAGCAGCTCCTTGTAGGTGAGGTTGTGCTCGGCACACACCTTCTTGGCGAGATAGTCAGACAGCCAGTTCAGGTCCAGCACAGTGGCATACTGCACAAAACGCCATTCACTGAGACTCGGTTGAATCTCAAGATTTCAGTCCCAGGAGAAACTGTGTATACAGTAGTAGACTACTCACATAGATTACACTAAAAGCTTACATGCAGCCACACTTCAGTAGCCTTTGCACAAACATTGCCTAGTGCAAAGATGTAGGCCGAATTTATTTTCTGAAGAGAGGGGGGCACGCCCTTGAAATGGTGATTTTTCGCTGTGTATGCCACGGCAAAAAATTTTTGAGGGGGGGAGAGGCACGGGCCCAGTGCGATACCCCCTGGCTATGCCACTGACCTAGTGAGCAATTTAAAGCAACACTTTTCTTGTAAGCTGCGAGACAGGGTTACTCAGTCCTATGGTATGCATGTACGAATATTGTCACACACCCTTATTTCTTTAGTTTGATGTGATTGGGTTTCACCCCCAAATCTGTCACCACTTAAGAGCACAGACTGTGCCAGAATGCTTGGGAAGCTTTGAGATTGTTTCAGACGGTTCTCTTAAGATTACGTACAGGACACGGATAGTTGAATTTATTCAGCAGATAATTCAAACACGCATGATAATGCTGGAAGCTTCAATTACTGATGTATAAGAGACAGTGCTTTTTGCTGGCGATCAGATTATCAACAATTGGCAGCTGTGATCACCCCTATTAGTGTACAGCGTGTATTCCTTGTATTTTGACTTTTCATTGGCCGGGCACAAGTTCACCCAATAAAGGTTTTTATGTTTTACACTTTGACTGCCGCTTTTTTCACCATCACAGTTACGTGACATTTGGTGTAAGAGCTTGTTCACGCGCATTCTGAACACCCGCGAGAAGTCGTGAACCACGCCCAAGCTATGAAGATGGCACCAAGGACAATAGGGATCATCAAACTAGCTGGACTACAGTCAGAGCACAGTCTCCTTCCAGAAAACAGGCCGCCCAAGAACTCGACTGCAGCGACCATGAAAGCAGCTGTGCCTTTTACACCATTCCTATTCAGACAATCCAGGGAGTCGGCAGGGGGCTACTTGAAGACCTGAACAGCTGGGTTGCCATTTACAATAATTGGAATAGAAAAGCCTAGTTACACCATGTGTATTTCGACTTCAAACAAGCTAAATAATAGGATGTCAAGTAACATTTTACAAAATTCCCTCAATATAAAGAGATGGCTACAAAAGGCAATTCTGGCAGCGTGCATAGAACCGGCACTGAAAGAGTTCATAAAATTGTGCCACTGTAGCGGAGATGAAAATTCACATGGTCCAGGTGCAATGCCATCGCCTTTTTTTATTTATTTGTATATTTCAAATGAGTGCATTAGCGGAGGCTCGCTTCTCGACACCATTATAGAGCTTCGAACAGGAACAGCAGGGACCAAGAGACTGTGTGCAATCCACTGTTGTGCTGCACTGCCAGTTTGGTGCAGTGAGCAAAGAAGACTTCTAACTGCTGCAACAATCTGTGGGTCACAACCGTGGATCTAAAAAATAATCGTGATGGCACTGCAACTGCAGCTACTTCGAATTGCCTCAGCCTTCGTTCTGGGGCACGTGAGCTTTGTGCACTGCACCACGTATGCACCTGCTTGTGCTTTTTCTGGATATTTGACAGCTCGTGCCAAGCTTTTGGTGCCATTAGCAACACGACAAAGGCAACTGCGACAAAAAAACTATCAATACTAGCTTACCATCCCTGTTCATATCCAAATTATTAATCCACTCACCAGCCATTGGATTAAGGTCAGTGCTGCTGTCATGCCACTCTCGTAGGCCGTGGGAAATAATTCATGGCCAACACTTTGCACCATGTCTACAATTCATCAGCACTGCATTCACGATCAACACTACGTTTAATGTGTCATCTGCTTTCAAGCTACACTGCAACGGCAACCCCACGCAAAAAAACTGCACAAGTATTCCACACTGCAGCTGCACCACTCCAGCACTGCACTGTATCAAGGATCGCAAAGCAGTGCACCACAGAGTTTTAGTCTCACTGACCAAGAATCGGTGCAGAAGGTGCAGGTTATGAAAATTGAGGCTAGCCAAACGCCATTGCGCAGGTTTTGTAGCCTATTCTGCCGTTCTCATGTCCTGACATGACTCTCCCCTCCTCCGCGGTCTCACGCTGGGCGTGCGGGAGTGAAATTAATCCCTGCCATGCGCGAAGTCTCTCGGAACGTTTCACGCGTGCACGTCAGGAGTGAGAAAGAACCTCTCAAGGACGACATGGGGTAAGCACGCATTTCTTTTCAGTCTGTCGGCTCCTTTTGTTTGGGGCTCGTTCAGACTTCGCTGACAGCACCCTCCACCCGCGGCGAACACTTACCTTTTGTTGCACCCCCTTTTGGAACGCTAGGTTGAAGAGCAGTGCGGTGTCATAGTGAGTGCTCATACTACGCCGACCCGTACCTCTCGAAAGCACACGCTAGCGGAGTTTTGCCCTCGCTCAAGCGACAAGGCCCTGTTTGTCCCGGTGTCACCATGAATCACTTTTGCCAATGAAGACGTGCTCGCAGCGCCCTGTGTAGTACATCTTGCTTGGGGCATGGATAAACCTATTTGCTCTCCTGCCGCCCCCGTTGCAACGGGCTCTGTACTGCGTTTTTGGTCTTGCGACCTTGAGCAGTACCGTGTTCTTGCCACGCTGCGCTCGGTGCTATGGCTGCCCGAACGCGCACGAGCGGAAGCGATGGTTAATGCGTGCCCTGCGGCTCGCTAAGACCAAACCCACGCTAGTGGAGGCGCACTCCTTTGGGATACATGCACACTACACTGGCGCCCAACGTGTACACTACAAGGTGTACCTAAAGTAGGTCACTGCTGCAGCAAAATCTTCAAAGTAGACCTTAACAGGGGAGTGTTCCAAACGAGCGTCGTAAAGTGAAGCCCGAACATGGTCAAGCCGCTAGTGGCACTGCTGTCGGTAGTCTGCAATGCGTCGTCGTTTAAGAGTTGTGGGCTGTTCCGCATAAAGAGTTGCAGGGATGCAATGCCCGATCCTCACTTAAAAGTAACTGTAGGTGGTGGGTTTTTATTTTTATTTTCACATGTTATCGCTGTACTTGTTTTCCTTTGTTTTTTTTTTTTTAACTATCCTCAGTCACTATGTATTGCTACAACAAGTAACGCAAAATGTGAAGTGCAATAAAAAAAATTTGACGATGAGCGTAATTATTTGCAACGCCACTCCACAGCATTGAACAAAAACATCAAGTGGCGCCTTCGAGATTTGTGCATATACGAGACCTCACATTTACGCTAATTTTCACAGCAATACGCAGTTAACTGATACAGCTATAACAAGTGACAGTAAAAACAAAAGCCCACCATCTACAGCTGCAATTACAGCATGGGCATTTCGAGTTGAAAGTCGGCATTCTAACCCTACACCGGCAGAGTGGCACACAAATTTTTAAAGACATATTGCAGACTACTGATCGCAGCATCACAAGAGAATTAACCCTCTTTGGGTTTTAAAAACAAAAGCCCACCATCTACAGCTGCAATTACAGCATGGGCATTTCGAGTTGAAAGTCGGCATTCTAACCCTACACCAATTTGGCAGAGTGGCACACAAATTTTTAAAGACATATTGCAGACTATTGATCGCAGCATCACAAGTGAATTGACCCTGTTTGGGTTTCACTTTCTGTTAATTAGTACTGCTACAGTTCCAAGCACTCCCCTGTTCTAGTACACTCTACTTCAAACCAAGAAAAGGCAGGTGTGCTATATTCATATCTTGTTCTTGAATGCAGTCACTATGCTTAAAAACGAAATTTGAGTGACAGAACCTTGACATGGTCCCTTCTCTCTTTCCTCATAAGAGGGGGATCTTGCTGCTGCCAGAACTAGCTGTAATTAATAGGCTTAATTTATTTGCTAACACAGTGGTCATCATTCACATCTTGATGTACCGTTGGGGCACCTTCTTTCACAGACTTCTATCACACACGTTCCAGGTTATATGTGCTCTTGTTATGTCATGTACTTTTTTTAGGTTTGTTCAGTATTGTTCAGATTTATTCAAGCCATGATGTTAGGATGTTTATTGCACAGTCCTGCCGAATGAAATCAATAACCTACTAGAAACCAACAGCTCTCGATCATCGTTGGAAATAGTATCAGTGATCAGAGCTGAGCTGGACCGACAAAGAAAGTGGCTATAGCACACTGATGTCAAACAGGTGAACCCCACTCTATCAGATTTTTTTTTTCAAGAGCGAAAACTGCTGCCACTATATGGTACCGCATTCACTCAAATGATGGTGCAGAGAAAAGCCTATAATCGCAACCAAGAGGTCAAGCAAAATTGTCCAAAGTGGCCACGTGGCAGCACCTTATGCAAATAAAGCCCCGGTCTTTACAATATATTTTCAGGCAAGCTGAATAGAGGTATTCAGAAACAGCTAGATGACATGGGCATTGACCTTTTCGAGATTTGTAGATGACTACCTTGTTTTAATGAAAGATAGGCCCCGGAACAGCCCTCTCATGAATATTTTGAAAACTTCTGATGAAAAACGATTTAGCTTTGAATTCATCCAATGGAACATAAAGTTCAGTATCTAGGTGTGATAATTTTCTGCCTTTTTAACATTGGCTAGATACACTACCGCAGGTCAGAAAAACTTTTGTTGAGCTATGTTTCGGCGTATTTAGGGATAGTGAAGTATGCTAGTAAACTCGGGCATCATTAGCTCCAACCGCACTGCCCATGAGAAAATGAACATTAGGCATTGTCATTAAGCTAGCTGTAGTCGATAAATAATCTGAAGGAACAATGTCTGTTGGGAACCACCAGAGAACCCCCAGGAACTGTTTCAGCATTGCACAATGCTCAGATGTGCAGTCACTATGACTTCAGTACAATGCTTTTTACACTTCTTGCACTGCTACAGTGACACAGCATATTGACACGCAAAGTTACTTTCTCTTACTTCATGGCGACCACCTTTTTCTTACTTTCTCAGCACAGACCCCACTTCCGACACGCA